ACCGGCCCAAACACAGGCCGAAAGCAGTTGGGCACATGCAACCACTTCAGGCCCAAGGCCTGCTCTCTTCGTGACTGGGCCTGTGCCTACCGGGGCCTACCGGAAGCTTCCTAGACTGGACGCAGGCAGGCCACTTCAATATAGGGAAGGGCCTGCCTCCTCATTCGGCATTCGGGTGCTGGCTGCATGCTGCATGAGCGCTGCTGCGCAATCCGCTGGCTGGCTGGCACTCACGCTSTCACGGGCGAGTAGGAGGGAGCACGCAGCCATAGCCAAGCTGCGCTGCTGTATGCTAGGTGAAGCGCAGGGTGGTCCTTGGGGTGCTAGTGGCATCTGTGCGGTMTGGATCGGGGTTGTGAGTGTTACGAGAGACATACCTGGTGCTGAAGCGTGCGACATTGGTCGCCATATGCTCGTACTTCGGGAACGCTGTTGATGTCATCATTCTGCTTCGTAGTATAGGCTAGATAGGATCTGCCACCTGTAGTCTGGGCGCCGAGCGCCAATAGGATATCAACTCTGGTTCGTAGTTGATGATGATGGGACTACTTCAGCATTGTCAATTTTGAACTCTTGGTGTGTTCTTATTTGGTGTATCTCGTGATGCCAGTCTGCTGTGGTTCGAGGTCAAGACTATCTGGGCTCATATGTATGATGCTGTTTGATTGCCAAAGTTCGCTAATGCTCATCTTCCTTGCACTAAACTCTTTTCAGCCTTTTAGGCCTGAACTGGCTGCTGCACGATTGTGCTGTTACCAAAACACGGACCCATAACTGTTAGGATGTTTGGTCCTAGGTACGTTCAGTCTGGTTGGTTAGCCCTCGAGGTATAGATAGAGTAGGACCGATACGTTATCCCTCTTTTGGTTGGTGATACTTGTTGACTTCACCAGGCTGCTTGAGCAGCACTTCAGCTGGGAGCCGCTGCTATGTTCGCAGGTGGCAGTGAAGCTGGTGCTTCATCTGTTGGACAGGCAACATTCATATCTGTGCTGTTGGTATTAGGTGCTGCCATATATTCTCCTTCAATTCCAGCAGTTCTTCTTCTTCTTCAAGATGGGGGTTCTTTCCCCATCCTAGGGCTGGCGCTGAGTCCCCTGAGTGAATTCTGAGGTGGCGCTGGTCTAGAGGCCAGCAGGGCTGGGAGCATGGAGTTCTGGACGTACGCCATAGCCATGCAGGCTGGTGACGTCCCGGGTGATGTTGTGATGATTAAGGAGGCTTGGTGGGCTTGCTGAACTGGCGTTTCAATTTTGTTCAAGGTTGTTTATACTTGGTTGTGGTTCTTGGCTACTTGTGTGAGTGATTCTGGTTCGACTTGGAGAGTTGGCGAGAGACTCTGGATTGTTTATATTCCATTCTTCTTGTTATGGTGATTCCACTGCGCATATTTCTCTTCAGCTTCATGTGAATCTGTGTGTGTGTGTACGGGGACATGATGATGCTCTGCTGAATTGCAGTTTCAACCAGTCACATAGCACAGGCCCGAATGCCGGGTCTCTCCCAAAACCCCCTCCCCTCACAAGAGACCCACTTTCTCTTTAAGGGATTGAGGGGAGCTCTGTTCAGAATTCAAATCCTCCCCTTTGCCACTACTTACATTGACCCTATTTGCAACCCTTGCCCCTGGGGAGCGTACCTCTCCGGAAGCTGCTTTACGGCTGTCACTGGATTGCCTCTGAGCTTCAGGTTTATCTCCCATATAATGTCCATCTCCCTGTTCAGACATGTCTGCAAACGGTGTTACCGATGGTTGCCGAACACCCTCATGAGGACTAGCACAAACAGTAGCCATGGGACCTCCCTTGTTAACGCCAGGTTCTTCAGAATCATAAAGATCGTGTTTGGATAGAGGGAATGATCGCCGCCTTCCCTTTCTCCCTGAGCTTGCAGTGTCATCAGCCTCCCGCTCATCCGAAGAGGAACCACTGGAATGCCAAGCAGTTTCCCGTCCATCCCTGGAAACGCTTCTATTTCTGGAAATTGCTGCATCATGGTCAGGCTGCTGCAATTGATCATGACTATGAGGCCTGAGATGAGAACGTGAGGGAGGAGGCACTTCCCAACCCCTGTGTCCACCATCAGAGCTTTCTCGGTAATTACCAGCATCGACATCATAGGCTCCCAAAGAGTGATGCCGTGAATGACTACTCCGTGATCCACCCGATTCTCGGTACTTTGCTGGTCGTTGGGCAATTCCTTCGTCCTGTGGATCCAGCCAACCTTGTCCCATATGTGCCATTCGTTCGGGACAAGAGCTAGTTGACCTCGGGGAAGACAACTGGGGTCGACTCTCTTGGCCATGCCAATTGCTTTGCCTGTGTCCCCTTCCGGTCTGCCCCCATTGATGGACATCAGAACTTCCATCACTCTCGTGACCCTCTCCGTTCATTCTTTGACTCGGAGATTGTTCCAAATGGGATTCTTGATCTTCTCTGCTCGGACGTCTGCCATGCAGATTTCCTGAATCACATGACGGGATTACACATGCACTTCTCTCCCTGCTATATCGTGGGTCTGTCCCACGTGCCCCATCATCGTCCACAGGGAAACAATGCCCAGTTCTGGATCGAGAAGTTCTGCGGATGGAATCACGTCCTCTTGACGACTCACCCAACATAGAAGAGTCAACAGGATCTGCCACTGGAACGTCATCCGCATCATCACTCTGGTCAGAGCCACCAGATACACTGTCAGCAGGATAATCAGGCATGCTATCGGTAGTTAGCATCTGCGCTCTTGCTTCGTCTTCGATACTGTGTCCCAGTCTCACTCTGGTAGTGGGCCTTCCAGGTTGCTGATCAGCATGCTTCACTGAGCCAGAGCTGGAACCTCCAGGACGTTGATCACCATGAGAGTGGGAAAGGGGTGTGCTTTCCATGCGAGATGGTCGCCCATGAAATGGCTTTGAGATGGGTCTTGTCCTCTGACATTCCACCTCACTAAAGAGGCTGGGACACTCTGGGGGGCCACGGCCAGCTGTGTCCGTCTCCCTGATGGGGCTGTTGGCAGTAGAGCGGCGATACTCCGGGGAAAGTGACCATTGCTGTCCACGCCCAGTTGTGTCTGTCTCCCTGGTGGGGCTGCTGGTCCTTTCAGGTTGCTGCCACGCCTGGTGCTGCATGCCAGGAGGGGCAACTTCAGAGGGTTGAATGCTGAGGGAAGAGGAATGGGGTGAGCTTTTCATGTCAGATGATGGCCTATGAACAGACTGCCTCTCTCGAACTCCAGCAGCGGTCACAAGCATGGGTCTTGGCATCGTCTCGTGATCTTCCCTGTCATCAGAGTGGCAAGGAAAACCTGACAAATGTCGTTGTTGGAATTGCACTTGGTCGCTGGAAGGTCTCTCGGACTCCGTGAAGGACCTAATGGGTCTTCCAGGTTGCTGTTTGCCAGAGCCTGGAAGTACAGGAGGTTCATCAGGGTGTGGAGCTGGAGGACCTGATCTTTCCACATCAGCTGGTGGCCAATGGACGGATTGTCTACGGCAGTTTTGCATTGGTTGGTCTTGAATTCCAGTAGGTTGATCAGCGTGAGGAAGAGGAGATGGTGAGCTTTCTCTGCTAGATGGTTCCCTATCAACAGACTGCCTCAGACAACCTTGGTTCGGTTGGGCTTCAACTCCAACACTGGCCTTGATCGGTTGATTTTCCAAGTCAGCAGAATGGCTGGGAGAGCCCAACAAACGTGGCAGTGGAAGCCCTGATTGGTCACTTTCAGCTGTCTCCATCTCCATGCTGGAGCTAGTGGAACCTCTAGGTTGAGGTTGAGCAGTGCTAGGGGATGAGGGTGTTGATACTTTTATGTCAGACTGTTGTGACTTGCCATGAACTCCAGCACTGAACTCTCCAGGATGTGTTCCCGAGTCCACACGGCAACATCCATTGCCATCCTCCTCCTTTGAGTCCGAATCAGTGCGAGCGAGCTTCTGTTGTTGATCTTCCACATCAGCGAAGTCGCGGGGACAGACTGACAAACGTGGCGGTCGAAGCAATGATTGGTCACTTTCAGCTGTCTTTATCTCCATGCTGGACCTAGAAGAACCTGCAGGTTGAGGTTGAGCAGTGCTAGGGGGTAAGGATTTTGAGACTTTTGTGTCAGACTGTTGTGACTTGCCGTGAACTGCAGCACTGCACTCCCCAGGATATGTTTCAGAGCCAACACGGCGAAATCCATTGTCATCATCCGCCTTCGAGTCCGAATCAGTGCAAGAGAGTTGCTGTGGCAATGCCGCAACTGGACCACCTGTGCCTGTCAGAGTTCCTGAAGACAGTGATTGGACATGCGGCAAGCGCTCACATACTACCGGAGAGCCCGCCCGTCTTTCAGGGCATTCAGGGGCGACATTCTTGTGATATCCAGGTTCCAGGACCATACTAGCTGGTCCTCCATCTCCCAGCCCTGTTCTGCAGTTTGTGTTGGCCTCATGAAGACCACCTGGCTCGCCATCTGCCACTACCATTTGGTTTGATGGCATCCCTAGCATGGGATCAGACCTACGCAAATCTGACCGAGGACTTGAAGATGGGCTATCTTGGAATGTGGACTTCAGTGCAGAGTCTCCTACATCAAGCTCAGCATGTGAGTTCTTCTTCAAGCTCACAATCGCTTTTTGCAACTCTTGTGCCACGTCCAATGTCACAGTAGTATCAAGAAAAACCCGGATCATGCTTCCAAACAAGTGCTCCTTGGAGATAGTTGAAGCTTCCATGCTGTTCCAGAGATGACCGCGGCTTGAGAGAAGATGGCCATCCTGTGACTCGATGTGCGGATCAGGGCAACATCTGCAGAAGTCGCAGTCAGTACACTTCCAGGTTTTTTTTAACCGAGGAAGAGACTGACCTGTGGATGCAGAGACAGCCATGTCAACATGTGAGCAGTGGGCTTCCCATTTTCGAATCAACCCCTCCAGGCTGGTGTTAGGAATCATTAGATCCGGATTCACCAACTCTTTCTTCGATGCAGGGCATGTAGGATACCTCCGGACGTGCTCCGTTATTGCCTCTTTCTCATAGCTTACCCCTGTCTCCAACACAACGGGGTGCTTAATGGTTTTTAAAGTCAGAGGGCAAATGAAGGCATCCGGAGGGTGTGGGATCTTCTGGGAGGCGAAAGAACTTGCACTCGGGATATTAATAGGAGTGCTGCTGCCCCGGCTTTTCAAACCAATGTCAATGGCTGCAGCAACAAGCTGTATCACCTTGTCAATAACTTCTGCCTCTTCCCTCAACGTCTTTTGACCCAGAAGATGCCATCCTACCCCACAGGCATTGATCTCACTGCCTACACTTTGCTGTTCGCCTGTTATGCGTACCCCGTCCACATGCTCTACAGCTGTGCTATCCTTGCTAACCAGCTCTTCTGCAATCTGCATTGCACTCTGGGATTGCCAGCTCAACACCCTCTTTGTACAAAATAGACCCCTGCCGTCATGATCTCTTTGGAGACCTTTCTCATTTGGACTAAATCCTACATCGAGCTCGTCAGCCAATAGCTTGCAGATGACTTTACCAATCAAGAACGCCCTATCCCTGTTGGGAAGAGCTTTCGCTACTTCCAGCTCCTCCCATAGATTGTGGAGCTGCTCCCCTACATCAATGTGCTTATCCATATCCAAGGTGAACTTAAGGATGACTTCAGAAATTACGCCTTGGAACCATTCAACATTTTCGAACTCCTTAAAGAATTTATTCAGGTCAATCATTTCACCTGTTACTGACCTACTCCCATCCGCCAGAACCATTCCCAATGCATAGGAAGGGCTCGTTCCTCCATCCCCCACGTCCACCTCTGATTCTGGATGCACCTGCATGAGCATTTCATCATTTTCGTCGAGCTTCAAGGACTTTTTTTGAAGAGCTTTATAAAGGGCCTTCGACCTCTCTGGAAGGTCGCTTGGCACATGTGGCGGACCCAATAACTCCTGGCAGTCGGATGCCCTATGCCCTGCATCAGCGCCACACTCATGGCTCCTAGGGGTAGGGTTGGAAGCAGTTGAAACCACCTCCTCAATAAGTCCTCGCAAGCTCTTGGCCCAAAGTCTGCACACCCGCTCCATGCATTGAAGGTTGTGTTTCCTTGACAGCACTAAACCTAATGCCTGAGTCACAAGCCCACATTGGTGGACATGATAAACTGCCATGCGCAGGTTTGCTGTTATGCCCTCCAAGCTCTTTCGTCCAGCACATATCGCTCGCAAAGGATAAGATGCATGTATATCCTCCAAGATGTTAAGCTGTGCTTTTGCACAGTCATTGAGAAAGCTGCATGCAGCCCCATGGATAAGCACCTTTTTCTGCAGTGCATCGATTTCATCAATCAGGCCATACAAGTGGCGGAAAAGGACAATAACAATTGCCGTTGATTTTGAAGTGGCCTCTTCCATGGTTACCCCACCACAGTCTTCTACGTCTGCTTTTACATGTCCATGTATACTTCTGCAAACAACCACAAATCACGCATTCCACCAAGACCAAGCAGGTCAACAATCAATGGCGAACCTATCACATTTAAGGTGAGCATTGGGATCCTTGAACATGGTTGTAAATTAAATAAATTGCCATATAACTATGAACTAAAAGAGCGCACTTTGTGAAACAAAGGATAAAAAATGTAACAACCCGCTGTAACACAGACTGAGAACACTGCTGATTTCTGAATGGATACCTTGCTGAGATTCCCGCATTCTGCTGAGTTTCTAAGTCTGTATGTGTGCGTGCTTGTTGACCTGCGTGCCTGTCTGAGTGCTTGTCGGCATGAGTGTGTGACCCGCAAGGGTACTTGCTTGTTTGGGAGGCCCATAGGGGCCGGTACTTACCTGTGGCCGTGATATCAAGGGTTGCAGCAGGGAAAATACTCAAGTAGCGGAGCCAGGGGTCCGCGGTACTTGGAGCAGCGGAAAAACACTCAAGTAGCAGGTAGGCCGGTACCGCACCCAGTAGCAGTAGATGTGCCGGGTACTCGAGGCCGAGCAGAAGAAGACAAAGTTGGCATTTTTAGAGGCCCAGTAGCGGTAGGCTAGGTCTAGGCCAGTACCAGTCCATCCAGTCTGAGTCTAGAGCCTGTACAGGCAATATCAGAGTCTGCAATGATGTTTCCCTCCGAAAGGGAGGAGGTACCGGTTGCTTGGGAGGCCGAGCGGCCTGGAAGTCACCGCCCAGGAGGYAAGTAGSCYGCTATATCAAGAGGCCGAGGGAAGAGCCCGGCCTCATTCTTCAGTGTGCAAGTTTGGCGACACGCTGCTGGAGCGCTGGCTACTACAGCGCTGCTGGGAGGAAGAAGCCAGGAGCTTCCACCTTGGCTATGGTAGTGCTCTACCGGTAGGAGGAGGAGGGAGAAGGGGACCAAGGAGTAGAGTGGCGAGGTACCTACCTGGCTATGGTGGACACCATCTTCATCACCTTGTTAGGCGCTGCATCTGGAAGGCCCCAGTTGGGGTAGTGCCGCATCAAGGAAGTTCGGGACAGAGTCAGGCATGGCGGTTGAGTGGGCAGCGGCATAGCTGCCTGGTGTTGACCTTGGGACAAGAGGGYAGCGACATAGCTGCTTTGGGTTGTCCTTTGGACGGGAGGGTAGAGCCCTCAATGCTCCGCCATAGCCTCGGCCTGCATGAAGAGGAAGAGGAAGGGTGGTCATGGCCATGGTGGACCTCATGTTGTGCCTGCAGTACAAGTGGGATTTGGACATTGATTCTGGTTCAGCCATTCACCATTATTATTGTTATTTCTTGTTTGAATAAGAGGGGAGGAGATAAGGAGGAGGAGATTGGTTGGCGAAGAAGAAGAGCATTATCTTTGGTCTATGATGGAGTACATCATCTTCTTCTTCTTTCTTACTTCTTCTTCTTCTTCTTTCCCTCTCTCTCCTCTCAAGTTCATTCATTTCTTTTTGCAATTGGACGACATTGTACTTTCTGATGAATGTATACTTCGAAATTGGCCAGGATCGTAACATCGGTGTCAGAGCGGATTCTACTTGCTGGCGAGAGTTGACTTTGCCGCCGTAACCCTAAACTAAGTGGTAAGGGCTAACCACTTAGGGTTAAGGCTGGAAGTTAGGGTTAAGTAGGGCAGCGTGGTGAAGGGAAGCTGGTCCCACCTGGCAGGGCCGTGTAGGGTCGACATTAGACCCGGCCAGGTTGCTTGACTGCATGTTGGTGGTGGCGAGACACAAGGTGGGACTTCGTGAAGCAATTGGAGAGAGGCGACAGTGAAGGGCACCTACAACTTGAATCTGGACTTCAAGGAAGACGAGGAGTGACTAAAGGGCTCCCCTCAAGTAGGCGAGCTTGAGGGTGGCAGCCATATCTGCACCTACGGACTGCAAGTTGCTACTCGATCTTCAACATCGACGGGGGATCCGGCGTTGTACTTTGGGGTAGATGTTGACCCTCCTAGATGATAGCACACTAGTGTAGAGGATGCTAATTGGGTTAGGAGGACTATGTGAGAGGGGGGTGAGTTTCTTTTCATCTCAAGAGCCCGGCCACTCAAGTAAGTGCCGTGCCGCCAGGGTGCCCATGTGTGTGTGCATGGAATTGACTGCCTGCTGGGGTACTCCGGGTTCTTCTTCCATCCTCCATAGTCTTGGTCTTGTGTGAGGTGTGTGAACTGCTTACTCACCCTGACGAGTGAATGAATGGAGTATCTTGCATGCCATGCTATATCTTTCTACAGTGCTTTGTTTATTTCATTCTGAACGGCTGTAGTCTGTAGGTTCTTTCTGGGGCTAAATTTCATTTTTCAATTCGGTAGAGGCAGAGATTAGGTCTTTGTGGAACTCTTGTTCGTTGGGCCCCGGTTCTGACTCCACTGGGGCCATTTGGGACTCAGTGGGACCAAGCGCCCTCAGACCAAATCTGTTGAACACTTACGCAATGCAAACTCTTCTAAACCTTGACTGGGGACCTACTGTCCTCACCCGAATAGAACACCAGGTCATTACAGTCGTATCTAGGCAAAAAATTGCACCAAATACCACTATAATAACCTGGTGTTCGATTCGGGTGAAGACGGTAGCAGTCTTGCAGAAAACTTGTACTCGGGACCTCCTTATTATGCAGTATGGGCAGGAGGCTCTGCACAAGAGTGCTCACAGAAACAACTGACACAGCAGTAAGCCCTCTCCAAGAGGGCAGGGGACCAACCAGCTTGGAGAGGACCTACCACCGCATCCGACAACAAATTTGTGTTGCATAGCACCACAGGAAATGGTAGGCATCTTTACCTTGATACTCCCTGTGCACCATGGGAAAGATGGCCTGCTGGCCAAATTAAAGCCCACAGAAAGAGTTCTTGGTACCTTTGCTAAGCTGCCCACGTCAATTACCTTGCTCTATCTGATTGGGACTCGGAGTTCATGCTTTCGTACCAGGACACTCGCTGCTGAGGGGATCTCAGTTGCGACGTTTTAACGGACTTTACCGCACGATCCGCCGCCTGACTCGCACCTTAGACACCACTCAATTCTCTCTTGCATTTCGTAGTACACTTCGAATTTGATTTGTTGTGTCTTCACGAAGCCGAGTCCGGCTAGGCTTGAGAGGACCTCATACGTGGTCGGACCAGACTGTGTGGCGGAATCAGATCTCTCTAATCTTTATTTTTTTGTTTTGACTGCTCTCCAGTCCAAATGAATTGCCGCTCCAGCTAGGAGTTCTACCTTCTCTTCTGATTGATTTCAAGGTGTTTCTTTCATTGGGTTCGTTAAATGCCTGCGTCTACACGATCGCAAACGAGAGAGAAAGAGAGAAGAGAGAAGCTTCTGAGTGTTTCTCTTGAGGGGGTGAGGAGAGGGAAGACGAGTGTTCGTCCCAGAAGTGTGAGGAAGTACGGACCTCTCTTGAGAGACTTATTGACACCCTTGTTCTCCATCATGGCATCTGCAGCAGAATGGAAGCTGCAAATGGACGCTACACCTGAGGCAGAAAATGCGCAGTACCAGTTCTTTTATGAGAAAGCATTGAAGAGGGATGAGGAAGAGAAGGAGAAGGAGAGGGGGGACAAAGTAAAGGCTCATGAAGCCGTCTTCAGTACTGTGACCGCCTTGATTGATGCTAAGGTGGAAGAGAAGATTGTCCCACTCCTCAGGGCCTTAGTAGAAGCCCGCGCTGTTGAAGACCATACTGGCCAACTCGCCAAGGTGTTCGATGAACTCAAGAAGTTACGCGAGGATATGGACCTGATGCCGCAGCAGCACCGTGACCAGCTGCAACATTTTGCTAACATGCAGCCAACCCAAGGTGTCCTTCCACCTGCTTACCCTGCTTCTAGTGTTACGTGTCGGTCCGTTCTTGCCCCTCTAACTATATCTTCTTCTTCTTCTTCTTTGAGTGTGGTCAACAGCCTATCCGGATCTGCAGCAGGTCCAAACCCCATTGTTGCTGCTACTGTTGCTGCAGTGGCAAGCGGCAGTGCAGGGCATTCTGGAACTGTTGCAGCCCCGAATTCGGACCCAGCAACCGCTGGTCCTAGCTATAGCTTTTCCTACGTGGATAAAAAGGCAGCACAGATTGCGTCTAGATACGACGGAAAGGACGACATTGAATCCTAGATCAGCTCTATGCGATCCTACTTTGATGTGTTAGGGACACTCCCAGTTACTCGGTCGTTGGTCTTAGGGACCAATGTGGAAACCGTCGGGGGCTTCTTAGAAGTCCAAGCTATACAGTCAGGCTATAAAAGAATAGACCTGAACAAATGGTTGAAGGCTACGCCCGTACCCACACCCGAAGAGCTCTTGATCAAGCAATATGTTGATCCACATGCTGCAGCCAAAGCTAGACTTAAGCTTGACAAGCTCAAGCACAGCTAGTGTACCGGCTCCATGCATAGTCTGCAGCAATACGTCAGTAAAATCTTTGCTACTCCTGATTTGGAGATGACTGCGCAGTCTTGCTTGGAGGTGATTAAAGGCACGGTCCCCTCTACTGTAACACATCGCGTGGGGCTCGGACTCATAACGTATATAGATTGGTTTTCCCTCATGCGAGATTTACTCAAGCTGGAGGCACAAGACCACCAGCCACAAACGGTTTTCAGGCAACAACCGTTTTGCAGCGCACGATCTACTTGAGGTTGACGAGGAGACATGCGCAGAGGACCTATCTCTTGGTGACGATCAAGAGCAAGACTGCGAGGCATCTTGCTCTTCGTCAGCCCATGAGTCCGATTATGTGGATGATGATGAATCAATGAATGCCTTCAAGAAGATTGCCTTCAAAAGTAAGGGACAAAGGAACGCAATGAAGAACGACACTAACACTATTCTTCTTCCCAAGGGAGCGAAGATTCCACCCAGACCGGAGGATCCTGCCACAAAACCATGGGCAGATCTCCGGATAAGTGAAAGTGAGTGGAAACAGAGGTTGAAGAAAGGGGTTTTGCCTGCACACTCAGTCCAACATTGCTTCAGACTGCAGCAGAGAAACCAGCAAAGCGGGTAGAGACATCATCAACACAATCTACAGACGGAGAGGCTCAACATGTAAGTGTGGATCCTTCACCGAATTTTGATCCTACTCAACAAACCTCTCTTGAGACCCCATCTGATGTTGATTCCAAGGCTGAGAAATTGCACATCCTCTACAGGGAGCCCTGGGTTGAGTCGGAAAAAAATGACTTTCATTCTCTTTTGTTGCGTTGGGCTCACATGAAGCAAGAACGCGCGCAAGGGAAAACGAAGTTGATCTTCTTTAAACTCCGCATTAACGGTCGTTACATCCGTGCGTTGGTTGATGGTGGCGCAACCTCTAACTACTTCTCACTGCACGGCCTTCGTAAGGCACACTTGGGAATGAAGCAAGCGACTTTGCAGAATCCTTGTCAGACCCAAGTGGACAACCCAGAGGTTGTCACATCTACGCATGCAGTCAAAGGTGTGCGCACTACCTTTGACGCAGACCGCACAATCACGCATGAATTGA